TAAATATGAACTCTACCCAGAAGCCTAACGGTGACTGGAAGTCATCATATAACAATAAGATGGAGATCCTCGACGGACGACACCTTCGGCAGTTCGCCCGGTCCTAGACATACTCCCAGAGGGGTGATACCGTTAGGGACATCGTAAATGATGAGAAGGTGGAATGGGCTTTAATGTCCTTTCAGCCCTAAAAATCCCTGGGACCCTGCCTAAGCCGTACTCACATACCATACGAGTGGAGAAAGGCCAAAGTTGTATTGTTACCAAAACGAAGCATGTCCGCTCATGTGAAACCGAAGGATTTCAGGCCTGTAAGCCTCACTTCATTCTTTCTTAAAACGCTAGAGAGGCTTTTTGACGAATATATTCGACGGAATATAAAAAACGACAACCTCTCATCGAGCCAGCATGCATATTCCAAGGGAAAAATTTGTTGAGACCGCACTTCAGGAAATCGTATCGACGAATCGAGGGTATTTTCAAGAATGTCTATCCGAAGTCGGTTTTCAATTTCCTCCTTATGGCAGAGCTAAACGCCCCTTCAGGATGATCTATTACTATTTTTCCTGACAGTCAGGCTGAAATAAAATCTCTCAAATCTAAAGGTACAACATCCAAAGTAGCCATAGAATGCAAGAAGGCCCTCAACCTGCTGGCTTCAAAATGCTCCTTAACTGTTATATGGGTCTCTGTGCTCTGCGCGGGGCAGCCCCTTCTAACCTAAACTAACCTATCCTAACATTTAAACGCCCATATTTTTTTTATCCAAAACACAAGATTTTATCCATATTTTTAGTGCCATTTGTATATGTGGATATGTATGCTTAATTTTCAATTAAACAAAAATGTATTACCAAAAATTTATGTACATACATACATATGTCCAATTTTCGCTTTCAGCCGTTTATATGCTAAAGTTATAAAGAAAATGTTTTCCTGATTAGTACAGTTTCTTTCTAAAATAAAGTATTCGAAGTTCACCTTTATGACGTTTTTATAATATTTGTTTGTTTGTTTTTTGTTATTTACAGTTACATATATTCAACAATTTTATTGAGCCTGAGGCTTTTTTAAGGATAACCATTGTGGAAAAATTAACAATAATTTATAAATGGTAGAAGTGATAGCTATTTCGGAGATTACCACATCTCCTCATCAGACTTCTTCAGCGGGATTCAAACCGACGATCCCAGTTGACTCAGCCAGTTGCCTGCGCACTATAAGGCGGACTTAGCACATAATATTTGTTTGTTCAAAGTAATCAAAATTCCGATACTAACAACACAGAGGACCAGTTCTGGTTCTGTGAAACTGTGAAGTGAAAATGAAAAATTCAATTTCAGTGAAAATTAAATTTTTCATTTTATCGTTTCGATATATCATTTTAAGCAATTCTCGATTAATTAAGGCTTTCACTTCACGTTTTCACAGAACAGGAATTGGCCACCACATTTGTAGCATATGTACTTATACCCAAATATTTTTTTACAATTTTAATATTTGCACATTTAATTCATCAAAAGCTCTGAAACAGTCTGCATAAATATTTTTCTAAATGTATGCACCAATTTACAATGCAGTATGTATTGTATTTATGTACGTACATACATACATATGCATTCGTACAGTCTTTGCCCCATTTTTTTGCTAGATGTTGTTAGTGCCCCACTCTCTAGCTGCAGCTAGAACAAAATTTCCATTTCTTTAGTTCCTTTCATTCCAACTTTTTTCAAAATTCAATGCATTTTTCACCATCACTTCAACAATTTGCTGTCACTCAGCTACACATAGGTACATAAATGCATCATTTTCATATTGTCAGCATTTTTACGCAATCGATTTGCTTTTTACGTTTTCTGCTACACTTAACAATTTCTCATTTCCCTTGTTTTTGTTAAATACTTATATGTATGTGTGTATAGTACCTATACATTATGAAGTAAGTAAAAGTGTCACTTGTCTTCTTGTTTTTGTTTTTGTTCTTGTTATTCTTGTTGTGTTTTTTGTCGTTGTCGCAGGTTCAGTCAGTTATCTCTCATCACTGCCTCGCTGAGTGCCGTCACTGTCAGAGTCACAGACGACGTCGATGTTGTTGCAAACTTTGTCATTGTTGTACGTTGACGTATAGGTTGATATTTTTGTCATACCACACACGCTGTCGCACTGTCTCATTATCAACGAATGTGCATCCTTTGACCGCATATCCAAGTATCACATCCTCTCGAGCACAAGTACCCAAATGAGTTGGCATGCACGCACGTAGGATGCACGTACTTGCATATGTAACTATGTAGTAGAGTGCACGCCGCACAACCCTCGCAGTAACTCTGAAAACACTCCATCGTACTTTACAGCTGCTGCCGCTGCTGCTGCTGCCAGCCTGCAACTCAGCCCACCCAATGACCGACCGAGCCACCCATTTGTCGTCGTCGCTGCTGCTGATGCGCGCAAGGGTAAAATGTGTACCGTGTATTTGTGTCTTTTAGGACACACGTTATGTGCATATACTATATATGTATGTAGATACTCGATTTATGTATAAGGCCTAAGTACGAGTATATGTATGTAAGTATTTATGTATGCACATGCGAATTTTACGCTCTGCCCGCTGCTCTTTGGGTTCTTCCTACGTCAAGGTGAACGCTACACANGAGTATATGTATGTAAGTATTTATGTATGCACATGCGAATTTTACGCTCTGCCCGCTGCTCTTTGGGTTCTTCCTACGTCAAGGTGAACGCTACACACAAGCACACGCACACGTACAAAAAAACACTTGCAGCACTTCTAAAATCGTGTATTCTTCATTTTTTCTCTACTTTGCATTTTCACGTTTTTTTTCACGCATTTAGTTTAATTGATTTACGGATAGCACGATTTTCCCGATTTTACGCGTTTCTCGTTGCATTCTTTTGCGATACACTTTTTTCGCAAAAGAAATTCAACGATTTTGCAATAATTTTCATTACCTTAACGTTACATTAATGCATTTTAAATTCGTTAACAATTAATTCCAATATTAATTTTTTCCAATTAGATTTTCCTGTCACTCTTCGCTCGAGCGATATCCTGTCGATTGTGAATTTTCTCTTCGAATGAAGGTAAACTTTTTGAATATGTACACAGTGAAGTGGCGAACGAGCGAGCGACTTGGCAGCAGTGTTGCCCTTCAAAGTGCTTTTGCCCGCTCACATTCTAGCTGGGGGTAATATTTGGGTTCCGTGGGTAAAGCAGTGCGTAACGGAAGTGAAAGAATGAGAAGACTGCAAATAACAAAAAATAATAGTTGTAATTAAATTAAAAGTTTTATGGAAAAAAAGGGAATTTTAAACTAAGTCCATTTATGAAGCGTTATTTTAATAATTAATGTGCTTAATGTCAACCAAAATTTTGTTTTAATTACAAGCATATTTGTATGTATGTAGGTATGTATATGCACTAGACGGACACCATTCGTTGCACTGCATTATCAGCACGAACAAACGTCAGCACTGCAGCGCCAGTAAGGGCATTTGTATGGTTTTTACTCTCAGCTGCTTGAAGACTTGGATTTTATAACTTTGTACAAACATACATATGTACATATGTATTTCCACACACTAGCCCTTCCCGGTTCCAGGCCGGTCTTTTCTAGTTATTTAACGCATGCGTGAATAATAATTATACATACATATGTAGGTATGTATGCATATACATACATACTTTGTATTGACCTACGCGACACTTTACAGAAAGTTTGTATGTATATCCTAAAACTTACTGTGAATTCATTAACATCACGCGAGCATTCAAAATGGTACCTAAATTAGATCCGTTTCCGTATAAGAATAGTGGCGGTAATTTGATATTGGTGTTATGCTAAGCAATGCTGCCAAAAATCTGGTATGCACGCCTAGCCTCTAGGCCCCAGAGCGAATCAAGATGTTAAAGAGGTAATCGCGTGAATGACTCTGCGTATTACTTTCATCACTTTCATGTTATTCTTCTCTTTTTTTTTAATAGTTATTTCATTGCAACAAATCCAAAGACAAAGATAGGGCCATTTTCCTCTCCTAATCTGCTATGGGCCCTTTATCATTAAGTTTTCTCCAATTCCATGTTTGTGACTGTTTTGGGGCAAAAAGGTACTTATTCAAAACTTAGGCATTTATTACTTACTTTTATTCGTTAGTTATGTGAGTCTGTTAGAAATACGCTATGTTTCTCTGTCTACCTACATCTGCATTTCTATATTGGATGTTAACGTACAAAAACTGCTGTCTCCTTGGATCAAAAGAATTGCGCTGCGGAGCCTTTCGAATGGAATGGAATTGTAGGTAGCCCGAAAACCCGAAAAAAATTTTCAAAGCACTCAGGCAGTATTTCCCATTGTACTTGATGGTTGTCGTAAGTCGTTCACATCGACAGTCGTTCGTTGAATTACGTCGTAAATAAAAACATTAACGACAGATTTTAAAGCGTTTTCAATACTTCTTCATTTCGAAAGAATAAATTTGTGGTAGAATAACGCCAATGAAAATCTCAAATTTCGACGCACGACTGCGATGCTGCAAAGTAAGAATTGGGAAGCTGCATACTAAAGAGTAACGTTAGTAGTCAGTGTTCAGAGGGGACTAGCCTTTCGACTCAGAGCGCTGGCATTAGTTTATGCCAGTGTCAAGGTGAGCTAGTCGCCATTTTCTATGATAATAAGGCAGCTATTTTGGGTCTGAAGTCTTTTGGTCATGCCAACATAAAATTAAGCTGCGGATGTGTTAGCCAGGGAGGTCTCCACTCTTCCGACCTTTGCGGGGACTTTGGTGCCATTATGTAGGCGGTAAGACCTTGCGTTCAAGCCCTTCGAGTTAATATGGTAATTTTATAGTTTTATGGTGAAGGTATCAGTCAGTATGGGCCCTTAGCGCTTATAAGATAATTGTTTACATACATAAATGTCTCCTTAATTACATACATTTAATTTTATTAATATCGCTTTTTTCAATGTTCTTTTCGAATGCATTTAATGACAGCCACAGCTTTTCACAATCATATTTTTATATTTTTTTAAATTAACATTTTCTTCGTTCAAGTGATAGAGGACGGGTAGAGCACCTAAACGTGTTGGCGCACAACAAGGCTTCGGCACCTTTTTCGGTTCCAACAAATGCACCAAAGTCTGAACAATGGCATGATTCGTGGCATTCATATGAGCATTTAATGGGAAATTGCATTCACCGCTGCAATAGTAGGCGCCATAACCCTCTGGCGCAATGATCCAGTCCTGTAAGATAGAAAACCATTTTTTTTTTTTTTGTTTAGAATTAATTCAAGAATCACAACACAAGCAACCTACATGCCAGCCTAGATCCTTGAAATCAATGTATAGCGTTTGCATTTGGCAACTGCGCATATTCTCCATAGTGCCCTCAAGGAACGGGTTGATCATTTCGGACTTCTTGCGTCGGCGTACATGTGGCGTATTGCGCTTTTGGCGACTATGGCGATTCGTGGACTTAATGAGCTGCAAAACGGAACAACAAAATAACAATCTAGTTGGCATTCTTTGTAGTCCGAGCAGAGCTGTCTATAGTTCATACTCACCTCTGGCCCACGAAAGAATCCGATCATAAATGGCTGATATTCATCATCGCCCTTCGGATGCACCAAACCTATATCATCCAACTTTACTTCACGTTCTGGCTTATTCACCGCATGTGCTCCAATATAGAGCCCCTTATTGCTTCTTTCGTAACCATGCAGCCAAATATCCAGTCCTTGTGTCACATTCAATTCCAACCATCCTTGATAATCTGAGGTCGTATTAACTGAGGAGAGCATCTCCAATTCTCGCTGACCTTCCATATTAATAATCGCATAAACGGTGATGGTAAACTCTTTTCCGCTGGTCATCCATTTACCCTGCGCTGGATTTTGATATATACGCAACTCGGCCATCATTAAGTAATTATCATTGGGTACATCCGATACATCAAACCAAAGTCGCCGGCCATGCTCGTGACGCACTTCGTCGACATGGTGGTCTAAGTAAATGGAAAAAATAAAGTGTAAGCAAAAGTTTGAAAATAAGTTTTAATCTTTGTATGTATGCAGGTAGGTAAGAACTAAATTAGCTATCCAATAGTATGCTGGACGCCAGGTAGCCATTATGTGGTCACTTATATTCCTACAAATCCGAAAATGTTGCATGCAACCGGCACTGAATTGCAACCAAAAAGGTGAAGTGGAGAAGCAAAAATCCATTACCAACACACACATAAGCATCTGTGCATTAGGGTGCATCACTTTACATACAAAACGTCGGTACTCCTTTTTCATCAGAATTATAAATTCCATTTTATTTTATGACTCCCGCCAAAAAGAAGAATTTAAGCTTAGAAGGTACACACATATGTATTTATGAAATTGTTTAAAAATTTTATCATCGGACTAAAAATTATGAGATTTTTTGAATTTTTTTCTAAACGATCCAGCTCATGTAAATCATAATATTTTTCCAAAATGTTTTGGCGGCAGTCTTAAAATATAATAAATTTTATAATTCCAGCGGGAAAAAACCTCAACTATTTTTGGTGAGGCACCTTAATATATCCCTTATTGCTCATTTTACGTTCATTTGTATGTTGGAGAAGAGTTCTTGGAATGTCAGCAAAAAAAGGCAAAAAGACAAATAATCAGTCGATTGCTTTTACCTGTCGCTAAGTCGTCCACTTGTAAAATATGAACAATAGATGTATGTATGTCGATATGTACATGTATGTAGCATCATCTGTTTCGATTGGCTTAGGTTAGCGAGCTCAGGATAGTTGCCTCTTGGTGTGGAGGCTTGAGGGGATGTTGAATCTCGCCGCACCGAGCTTTCAACAGCCAGTCGAGTTGTGACTTGTTCAGTTATAACAGCTGCTTTGTTGGCCGACGTCGATGGATAGCTAGCCACCTTGCATTCCAGAATTTTCGCCCAACGTTCGCTGAGCCGACTAATAGCCCATCTGTCCACAAGCAAAACCTATTTAGCCAGTGGAGTCTTTATAATATAGTGCCAGCTAAGGGCCTTCATTTCCGTCTTGCTAGCAGAGTATGTATTTATATGTAGCGCTTGGATTCTAGCAACGGTCTGCAGGGATCGGTTCGGCCCGAAATGAATCCAAAGCGTTTGAGGATTGCGGAGTACATTGCATTAAGTGCATGGTAGGGGTATTTCGAAGTGCCTCGCTGATTCCAATTAAGGCAGTTCTTTCCACTCTCTTCAGTAATAAACTTGTCCTGAGCACTCTCTGCTATAAGGGCACCATGCAATAAAATTACAACAATAAATGTAGGACTACCGACACCTTCTTTAACCTTTCCTCTATATTTGGTATGCGAGAGAGCTTGCTGTCGAGGAGCAAGCCCCTATACTGCACCTTGACAGAGAGCGTTAAGGGAAGCCCACACGTTGAGGGAGGTCAAAAAATTTAGATGTTATACCTCCAAACTCCAATGAATGGCAAAGCAAAGCCTTGGATGGGACCCTCTTATTTTTATGACCACTACAGTACGCGTTTAAAGGACTTTGATTTTAGGGCATGCAATGTCCGGACCCTTACTGGAAAGGTGCCTCTGCCCGGCTAGTTTATGTTCTCGGGAGGACATCACTGCCAACCAAAAAAGATGTGGTGGACGGGGCAAGGCAAAAAATGCGTGAGGCTTTGCGACATCTAAAACAGCTGGCGCGTAAAAGAGCGATGCTGAATTTATAGTGGGAAAGAAACTCCGTCGCCGAGTACTGTCATTCACCGAGGAAAAGGAAGGCCCCCTTTGCGTTGGAAAGACCAGGTGGAAAAGGACTTGACATCTCTTAGCATTCCCAATAAACGTCAGTTGACACAGAAGAGAAACGACTGCCGTGCTTTATTGAACTCGGCCAAAAGCATATAGCCGGTTACAGCGTGAAACAAGAAGAAGAATAATCAGGTAAAAAAAATATATAACTCCTTCGACCATAAACTTGTTTGGAAATATAACCTTGAATATACATACATATATGTATGAATCCAAATCATGTATAAATTTTTTACTTACTTTTATTTAAAAACGTCATTATGATGTCACTTTGATCGATGGCTTGCTTGTCGAGATCGGTTATGAAATTTTCCTGTTCTTCGAGATCACGTTTTGAACGCGTAGGCGTTTCACTATTCTCCTCCTCGGTTAAACGATGATAGACATCGAGTAGAAATTGTGGTGCTGATTTTCTGGAATTGTGAAATGTTGATATCAAAAGATTATAGGCAACATAAACTAATAAATCAGCAGATATTTAATAAAAAGTAAAAAAATTAAATAAATATAAGCGAGCGATATCAAATGACTTTTGTATTGAGAACTATAGACATACATATGTACATATATTTATGTATATATAAAGTTATAAATAATATCAGTAAATATATGTACCAATCGATAAATTATAGGTTTTATTTCTGGTCTATAAATGCACATACATTACGGTGGTGCAAAAACAAATTTACAATGTTAAGCTCTCACACCCTAGGATTTTGCTAAATGGAATAAAAAAATACCCTTATCTTTTTGTTAGAAAAATCATATTAGGGCCACCTAAAACCCCCTTAAAATGCAATAGAGGGACCCACAAAAAATTGCTCGTATTAAAAAATGGTTAAATAAACAATTGGGTATTATTACTGAAAGCCTCCTGAAGAGAAACAGAATTTCCGGTCGAAAAATTTTGATTTTCAAGAATTCTATACCATTTCCACGAAAAAGTGTTTTCCCCCATATAAAATACATATGCACATGGAAAACTTTATGCGGTTTGAGGCAGTTCTACACCTTTTCCAAGAGTACTTCAGAAAGCGTCAAATGTATTTCAGAAACTGTAAAATGTACTTCAGAATAGTCAATTGTACTTCAGGAAACGTAAAATGTACTTCAGAATGGTCAATTGTACTTCAGAAACCGTAAAATGTATTTCAGAACAGTCAACTGTACTTCAGAATAGTCAATTGTACTTCAGAAACCGTAAAATGTTCTTCAGAATAGTCAATAGTACTTCGGAAACCGTAAAATGTACTTCAGAATAGTAAATTGTACTTCAGAAACCGTAAATTGTACTTCAGAAATCGTAAAATGTACTTCAGAAGACGAAAATTCGTACACATTGTAATTATTTAAATAGTAAATATATTATAGTGATTTTAAATATATTTACTTTTTAATGTATTTTTCAAATTACAAGTAAATTACATAGTTTGTTCGCAATGTCTATACATTTAAGAATGAAACAATTAATTTATTAATGCAGTTTTAAATTATGTACCAGCTGGCATATCGAATAAAGATTGTGCATCTGGGTGAAAAGTGGTTGAATGTTGAATGGCTCTGCCACAATCTCCACCAACAACTGTCGCTTTTGCCTTGGATTCAACATTGGCGAATATGGTCCAAGACGTAGGAGCGTTGCTTTGTCTGTCGCGTTAAAGTTGTTGATTGCACTTTCTAAGTGGGAGTGGCACGGAGCGTTATCGCATACAACAACCAGATCCCCGAGGTTGTTACCCAAGTCAACCCACTTCTGTAGCACTGTATGGATCCACTGACATGCCATATCAGCATAAAGCGGAAGGCTATATATTTGTTCATAGTCCGAATTTTACCGTGCAAGCATTTACTACATGGAGTATGTACAAGCGACATTATTATTTGGTCCGGGCGTTGACGAGGGAAAAGCGACAGTTGTTGGTGGCGATTGTGGCATAGCGATTCAACATTATACCAGTTTTCATCCATGCAGATGCACTATCTTTATACGACCTGGCAGTTGGAACATAATTTAGTCTGCATTAATTTAATTGTTTCATTCTTAAATATATAGTAGACATTGCGAACAAACTGCTTCTATGGACTTGTAATTTGGAAAATATATTAAAAAAATAAACATATTTAAAAATACTATTTTATATACCATTTAAATAATTACAATATGTATGTAGTAACTTTCGTCTTCTGAAGTAAATTTTACGGTTTCTGAAATACTTTTTACGGTTTCTGAAGTACAATTGACTATTCTGAAGTACATTTTACGGTTTCTGAAGTACAATTGACTATTCTGAAATACTTTTTACAGTTTCTGAAGTACAATTGACTATTCTGAAGAAAACTTTACAGTTTCTGAAATACTTTTTACGGTTTCTGAAGTACAATTGACTATCCTGAATTACATTTTACTTTTTCTGAAGTACAATTTACTATTCTGAAGTACATTTTACTATTTCTGAAGTACAAATGACTATTCTGAAGTACATTTGATGATTTCTGAAGTACTCTTGGAAAAGGTGTAAATATCTTTTATTTTTAAAATACGGGTATTTTTTCCAATTATGAAAAATCCTAGCGGGGAGAGCTTAATATTTTAAACTTTTTTTTAATTTGTTTTTATTCGATTTTTTGGTTTCTTAAAGATATTAGAATGTACAATTATTTCCTATTGAATTTTGGTAAATTTTTTTCCATTACCATGTGCACAAAAAGTAGAAATAACTTTCGACAACGGTTCTTTCGCCAACTAGATGACTTTAGGATATAATAATGAATTCATGTCTAACGTCCAAAGCCAGAATTAAAAAAAATAAGAGCTATGGTAGCTTTTCTAAAAGTAATCAGATATCTATCAGGTCTGAGCGCAAAAATATCAAAATTGATACATGTTCATGTATTTATGTGCACAGATTTGTGTATGTACATACATATGTAAATCTACATGAACCAAATTTTTTGCATTGCTCCGTTTTTTCGGTAATTCGAATCTTTCTTTTTCACAGCTATTGAATACAATTTCGCAAGTATGAAAAGTAATACTTGCACACGAGTGCAATGCATTCCCCTTGTGGAATATGAAACAAGCGATTTGTAGACGAAATGGAGCCCCAGAAAATGGGTGCATATAAAAACATGAGGGTGATTCCAGCAAAAAGTCTACCGCGAAAAAAAATTAAAATAAAAATATATATCTAACTTGGGCCGATTGGCTGCTTTTATAATTAACATATATTGGTTATGTAAGCAGAAAAATTTTTGCCAAAAATGGTCTCGTTACTTGACGCCAGGGTCGAGTTATTTTGAAATACCGTATTTATGGTCTGATTTGTTTCACATTTGGCATGTTTAGTTGAAACGTAGTAAGACATAGTTTTGCAAAAAAATGGAATCGCTGGTGGCGCTGATGTCAAAATAAAAAGTACGTTCGACATGAAAAGCACGTTTTCTTCTCGTTAAAAATTCTTTCAAGATCAATATTAACAAAAATTTTTCAATGGACATTTTAGTAACGTAACTAAATTCTGTAATTTTTTACTGAATAAAATTTTGACTTTTTAAATTTTTTTTTAACATTTGGTCATACAAGTGTCACGTACCGCCAGATTGGAAATACCCATTTCCTGCGTTACGGACATTCCATTTTAATTTACTGATATTAGGGTTATACGTTAGGGTGATAAAAACTGAGCCCTGGTGGGTAAGTACTAGAACGGGGTACTTGAGGTCAATGAACTTTGTTAAAAAAAATTTCTCCTCGAGGCAAAATAAATCAATATATCATACTTTCAGATCCGACTGTACATGCCGAAGATATGACGAAAAATGCAAAAAAGCAAACCCTATGTTCAGCAAAAAAATTGTTATTCAAATTTGCTTTGAATAAATACTTTGGATTCGAATATCAATGGCGAACGGCGAACTTTTTTCAGGTACGGTCTAATATACATATATTTATATGTGCATATGTATGTACATATATATGTACTATAAATGCATATATGTAATTGAATTTTTTTCTATGCAAATAAAAAAAAAAGCATTTTCTAACTCAATTAAGGAAACAACTACAAAAATAAATAATATTAAGATTAAAAAGTAAACACAACAAAATATGTCTACAATTACAGCTGAAAAACGACGCGAGCAATATCGATTAGAAGTGCAAAAGTGAACAAAGTATATATAAATATCTAAATTCATAAATAATATGGACATATGTATAAGTGAATATAAAACTATTTTTTATGTAAATAATAATAAATATTTGATCTAAGGTAAGGCAAACCGGCAAAGTAGTCAGCTAGTCTGTTAAGCAAGCATGTGCACGAGAGAGCATCCGTTCAAACATACATACGAATGAAAACAAAATTAATTTATGTACATACATACATATTTTTTTAATGAAATGAGGTACTCATATAGAACAAACTATGTAGTCTGAGAAAAAAATTGCAACAAATGGCTATATTGAGCTTTAAAAATAGTCACAAATCGATATGTTTGCGATCGGTAAAAGCGGGAATGTTTTTACTTAGCATTAATTAAATTTAGAATTTAGAAATCTTTAAGTGTTCGATTATTGAATTTTAGTTTAAGGCTATCAGGTTTTTACATAGCTAATCCACCTTAAAATTAAATTTTACACATAAATCCATTGTCTGGAGATATACGAATATATTTAGGAATTCATGGATAAGTTGATCAATCGATAAATTTGATATCAATATCGATACTATTTTCTATGAGCTTATCAGAATATTTATGAATATCATTGGTGCGTATTCATAGTCCAGCAACTAAGTCGAAACTAACAAAGTTGCAACTTAAATTTAAGTCTCAATTTAAAATTTACCTCTATTCATAGTCGCATTTCAGAATTCTACTAAGTAGTTTCGACTTAGTTTACGATATAGCAAAACGAGTGTGAAAATGTATCGATTTTTCTTTACGATATTTTGGAAAAATTACATTTTTATTAAATAATATCAAGTTTGATCATCCGTTTATGTAATTTTTATTTTCATTGCATGATTTTGCAAAAGAATAAGGTATCATTTTCTTGTTAATTGTGTGAAATAGCCAGAACAACCGCAGTGATGTGAAGTCGATGTTTATCGAAAGCATGCTGTGAAACATACAAATAGTAGATATCTAAATGTTATGCACAAATTTACTTTAAAAGAACTAGCGTGAAACTGACTTATTATTTGAAAATTTATCTAAATTATTCCAATTATAAAATTGTGATGTAGCTTTATTCGAATCTGTAATACGCATTAAATTTCATCTTCCTATTAAAATGGATCGATCTTTGTAAATTTTAATTGTAGATTATTCAATATTATCAAAATCACCCTCTACCAACTTAATTTTTACATATTTCGCCTGTTTTACCTTAATTTGATAAAATACTTCTTCCTAGTTACGACTTAGTTGCAGCTGCAGCCGAAACTAAATTTTAAGTTGGTACTTAGCCAGAAAAGTCGAAACTAAGGCGACTATGAATAGCTTTGGTTGTGACTTAGAATAGTTTCGACTTAGTTGAGTACTAAATATGACTATGAATATGCGCCATTAAATACGTATTAATCGAATCTAGTTATCGATTATTCATATACATCGTAGAGCTGGAAAACTATCGATAGTTGGGCATTCCGGACTCAATTTAGAAATATAAATGTTGGCATTGTCTCTTGTTCTGTGACATATGTATTTATTATTATAAATATTTATTTAACTAACTAACTGCTACATGCGAATCGATACTTGATAATTTTAATATCACTCAATGATGTTTTTTTTTTTTGTTCCACTTACCTCAACGACAAATGACTATGCTTCCGTCGTGGTCTCTCCGACAATCCTAGAAATTCCAAAATCTCATAGGACACATCCATTTTGTCATCGTCGTCCAAGACGCGATGCATTATCGTCTGATCGACGCCATTATCTATGTAAATGCCAGATTGACTGGCTGCTACCAACATACGTGGACCACCACCACCACCACTGCCGCCTTGTCCACTCCATAGTCTATAATCTATATCTACACTTAGCTGGCACAGCAGCAGCAACACCAGGAATGGAATCCGCAAGACTGAACAGCACAGCCGATGGAGTGCGTTGAGAGCATTCCGGTGTGTGGCGCTGTGACTGGCGGTCGAGGTACTTCTCAGACGTTTACGTAAATATGAAATGTTTAAATGCATTTTTTTTAATCTTTTTTTTTTGAGAATCAAAGTGCGAGTGTAGATGGGTTAAGTGTGTTTGTATGGCAAATATTTTAGTTGATATTTTGCAGATTTCAATTGTTTTTGCTTAACAAATAACAAATCATCAGTTTTATTGCGTTGGACGGTTGGACGTTGCGATTTAGGATATTGGCATACACTTTTCGTAGGAATTACT